TTGGTTGGAACGATTCGTGAGGCTCGGCTTCAATGGTTCGGAGAGTGGGAGATATGGGTAGGGTTGTGACGTGGACCATCTAGAATTCTCTTTTAGCAATGTACACGGTTTGAAGTAGCTATGATTGGACCGCGGGTTGCACTTCTCGGTCTGACGTGTAGCTTTGATTGGTTTGCATATGTCACTGTTGAGTCCGACGCATAGCTGCCATCCGTATTTGATGGAATCAACTAGATTCGGTTTTCACGACATTCACGAAATCTGTTGCCCCGTCGATTTTTTTTCGCTAGTGTTCGTGTTGCTTCGCATGCCTCGTGATCACTACCTAACAAGAGTCTAAACCTTGTTAGAGCTATACATTAGACCCACAAAAGTGGCCGCAGTTGGTACAGTGGTCGTTTAATGAGTCACCAGTGTCGCGTATCGGAATCCAAATGTGTTGTATTCGGACCGCGGCAACGAAAACTTGGTCGAATCGCGCAATTCGAGCCACAATTCTGTGCGTGTGTCGCTAGATGTGACTCTGCAGTAACTTTTATGTATACAGAGAGGAGACACAAAAATGTTACGGGGTGTGCGGTTAGGTTTTCGGAGCTCGTTTGGACTTTTCGGGTACTTTTCGGGAGAAAAACCTACAGAGGGAAAAATTTGAGGCCAAACATTTTCGCGATGTTGGGCGTTTTCAATGATCTCAAGTGCTACGGAATCCTTGCTCCGAGCCCGTCGTATCGATCCTAGGCTCTGCCTCTAACTCGCCAAGTTCATTCTGTGGCGTTAGTTAAACAGAGGCGGATTCTTTCAGCCATTGGATCTGAAGTTGGCCGATGCAGCAACGACGGACCTAAAGATGTCAAAACGGTCGTCGCCAGATCCAATGTCGCCGAACCGTTCGTTCCCGAATCCGATGTCGCCGGATCCGTCGTCGGCGAATCGGATGTCGCCGAACCTAGCACTTCTTGATTCGTCATTCCTAGCAACGATGCTCCAGCGTCCATAAGACACGCTTCGCTGCGGCTGGAGTGGTCTACGCGCTCGTTGCTGGTGTCGGCGCAGGAGAGCATCGCGTCGCCGGCTTCGCTGCTGCAGGGTGCCAGCCCGAGGCTGACAGCCTGGCGGAGCTTGCTCGTGCTGCAGGAAGAGCTCCGAGGCTGCAGCAAGGGTTGCGTCGGATTAGTATTGCAACTAAGATTCTTCCAGAAACTAAGCGCATTGAAGTACGAGGGGTAGTCCTCAACAAAATTCACAACGCCACATGCTTTGCCCAAATCTCGGTTTCCCCCATCTTTGCGCACTAACCATTGCATGAGCAATAGCTGCGGTAACTAGAAACAATGCTTGGAGGGTAAGCATTCCTGAACATCTGCTGAAAGAGTGGAATACATTGTCCCCCCTTTCTCATTGTCACTGCAGCTGCTAGCGGTTCCGCACCCAAACAGCCCCGCACGTGCCAATTTGGTTTGGTACAGTGAATTTACTTCGGTTGTGTTGGATGCACAGTGGTATCTTGTCAGAATCCCAGCCACTAACCACTGGGATAAAAGGGCTTGTTTATATAGCGGGTGAGTGCGCCCATAACCCCCCAGGCCGACGTGCCTGTAACCCTTCCCTAGGATCATCGGGGATCTCCAGTGGACCTCTGACACCCCCCCGCACTGGGATGCCCGAAGTGCACACACCGGGAATCGAACCCGAGACCTTCGCTCTGATACCATGTCAGAATCCCAGCCACTAACCACTGGGATAAAAGGGCTTGTTTATATAGCGGGTGAGTGCGCCCATAACCCCCCAGGCCGACGTGCCTGTAACCCTTCCCTAGGATCATCGGGGATCTCCAGTGGACCTCTGACATATCTAACCTGCATGAATCAGAGACATGAGCATTCGAATAGCGACTAACAAAGCAGGCTATAGCGACTTCTGAACCAGATAAGGTGCTGCTGACGCGTCAGATATCAGCGTCACTTCTGAAGGTGCGCTGTCACAATTAGATGTGACAGCGCGGATGTGGTTTGGACCAGTGCGGCGAATCGAAACACAAATATCGTAGGGTTTCCAAATCGCCAGATTCGCCAAGCTGCAGCTGAACACAAGAAGCGTAGGGTTTCCAAATTCGCCATATTCGTCAAACCACACCATGTTTGAACTATCTCGCGAAAACGTTCCATGATTTCGCCAATCCTGACGTGTGAGACAACACCACACTGAAACCTTCTGGTGTGCGAGATTCTCCTCTCCCTCTCCTTCAAACTCCATCCACAGCTCGTCACCTCTTCATTACCAACTCTCGGAAATGTAGTCCACCGTTTTCTTAAAGCCGGCGCCTAGAATGGCAAGGGTTCATAGATACTGAACTTGAAAAGGGGTTGCACGAAGGTTGACGAGAGAAAAAATCGTTGGAGGGAGGTGGCGAAGGTGGAATGCTCCACAGTGTATCGCATCTTCAACTTCAAGAAACTTGAACAAACCCAACCACCCCCACGCAGCACAAAACCCACGTTTCCGCCAAAACCCGCAAGAGCGTTCTTAGAGCACGCTGAGAACAACATGCGTAAGTACCAAAAAGGTAGAACGTAAGTGTTAGGAAACTAAGTATTCAGACTAAAATAGATACGTCTAACATGTGAGAATATCTAACGGCCGGAATCGAGAGGAAGCAGAGGACCGAGGTAGAGAGAGGAAAGCGAATGCGAGTGTGAAACATGGCGGTACGGCGTCGTCGACCTCGCTTCCCCCGTCCGTCGATCTCGGATCCACCGTCCGTCGCCCTCGCTTCCCCCTTTTCGCCCTAGCTTCCCCATCCGTCGCCACAGCTTCTTCCGCCCATAGCCCTCGCTTCCAACGCCCATCGTCCTCGCTTCCCCATCCCATCGTCCTCGCTTCCCCATCCCATCGTCCTCGCTTCCCCATCCCATCGCCCTCGCTTCCCCATCCCATCGCCCTCGCTTCCCCATCCCATCGCCCTCGCTTCCCCATCCCATCGCCCTCGCTTCCCCATCCCATCGCCCTCGCTTCCCCATCCCATCGCCCTCGCTTCCCCATCCCATCGCCCTCGCTTCCCCATCCCATCGCCCTCGCTTCCCCATCCCATCGCCCTCGCTTCCCCATCCCATCGCCCTCGCTTCCCCCTCCCATCGCCCTCGCTTCCCCTTCCTGTCGCCCTCTCTTCTCCTCCCCCCGCCCCACTCTCCTTCCCCTGCTCATTCTCCTCCCCCCGCCCCACTCTCCTTCCCCTTCTCATTCTCCTCCCCCCGCCCCACTCTGCTTCCCCTGCTCATTTTCCTCCCCCCGCCCCACTCTCCTTCCCCTGCTCATTCTCCTCCCCCCGCCCCACTCTGCTTCCCCTGCTCATTTTCCTCCCCCCGCCCCACTCTCCTTCCCCTGCTCATTCTCCTCCCCCCGCCCCACTCTCCTTCCCCTGCTCATTCTCCCCCCCCCGCCCCACTCTGCGTCCCCTGCTCATTCTCCTCCCCCCGCCCCACTCTGCTGCCCCTGCTCATTCTCATCCCCCCGCCCCAATCTCCTTCCCCTGCTCATTCTCCTCCCCCCGCCCCACTCTGCTTCCCCTGCTCATTTTCCTCCCCCCGCCCCACTCTGCTTCCCCTGCTCATTTTCCTCCCCCCGCCCCACTCTCCTTCCCCTGCTCATTCTCCTCCCCCCGCCCCACTCTGCTTCCCCTGCTCATTTTCCTCCCCCCGCCCCACTCTCCTTCCCCTGCTCATTCTCCTCCCCCCGCCCCACTCTCCTTCCCCTGCTCATTCTCCTCCCCCCGCCCCACTCTCCTTCCCCTGCTCATTCTCCCCCCCCCCCGCCCCTCTCTGCTTCCCCTGCTCATTCTCCTCCCCCTGCCCCACTCTCCTTCCCCTGCTCATTCTCCTCCCCCAGCGCCACTCTCCTTCCTCTGCTCATTCTCCTCCCCCCGCCCCACTCTCCTTCCCCTGCTCATTCTCCTCCCCCCGCCCCACTCTGCTGCCCCTGCTCATTCTCATCCCCCCGCCCCACTCTGCTTCCCCTGCTCATTTTCCTCCCCCCGCCCCACTCTCCTTCCCCTGCTCATTCTCCTCCCCCCGCCCCACTCTGCTTCCCCTGCTCATTTTCCTCCCCCCGCCCCACTCTCCTTCCCCTGCTCATTCTCCTCCCCCCGCCCCACTCTGCTTTCCCTGCTCATTCTCATCCCCCCGCCCCTCTCTCGTTCCCCTGCTCATTCTCCTCCCCCCGCCCCACTCTGCTTCCCCTGCTCATTTTCCTCCCCCCGCCCCACTCTGCTTCCCCTGCTCATTCTCATCCCCCCGCCCCACTCTCCTTCCCCTGCTCATTCTCCTCCCCCCGCCCCACTCTGCTTCCCTGCTCATTTTCCTCCCCCCGCCCCACTCTGCTTCCCCTGCTCATTCTCATCCCCCCGTCCCACTCTCCTTCCCCTGCTCATTTTCCTCCCCCCGCCCCACTCTGCTTCCCCTGCTCATTCTCCTCCCCCCGCCCCACTCTGCTTTCCCTGCTCATTCTCATCCCCCCGCCCCTCTCTCGTTCCCCTGCTCATTTTCCTCCCCCCGCCCCACTCTGCTCCCCCTTTCACTAACCCACATTCCCAATTGCGCAGTTACAAGTCCCAGCACAATGCCCAGGGTTTATTGCATGAAGTGTAGCAGGGATAAAACATTACATTTTCTAGCTGTCTTGTTCGTGTTGATCTCTTGAAATGTTACTCTCTCTGTTGCACTTTTTTATGATGGTCGTGTGCATGGCTGCTCCTTCTAAGCTCAGGGTTTGTTTGTATTACCGTGTAACAAAACATCCGACATCAATACATGGCATGGCTAGTCAGTGGTACGATCAAACACCAACAAGTCACCACAGCCAGATGCAAGGCCTGACCAAACACAAACCTGGAAATAAGATGTGAAATGGCTGAGTATATACAAGATAGAGTATGCAGAGGACAGAGTGAGCAGGGTGTGTAAGTGAGCATGTTGAACAGCATTGGATAGGCCGAGCATGCGGCAAGGTCATGTGCAGGGAGACGGGCTGAGAGGGAAAGGAGGAGAGGGGCTGAGAGGGAAAGGAGGAGAGGGGCTGAGAGGGAAAGGAGGAGAGGGGCTGAGAGGGAAAGGAGGAGAGGGGCTGAGAGGGAAAGGAGGAGAGGGGCTGAGAGAGAAAGGAGGAGAGGGGCTGAGAGGGAAAGGAGGAGAGGGGCTGAGAGGGAAAGGAGGAGAGGGGCTGAGAGGGAAAGGAGGAGAGGGGCTGAGAGGGAAAGGAGGAGAGGGGCTGAGAGGGAAAGGAGAGAAGGGGCCAGCAGAGAGGGAAGGGAAGAGAGTCGAAGAGAGAGGGACAGCGAGGGAGGGAAGGAGAGGCGAAGAGGGGGAAGGGAAGAAATCAGCAGAAATGGAGTAAGGGGGGAGGGGGAAAGCAGATTGTAGGGAAAGGGGGACACCGCATAGGGACGGAGGGTAAAACAGCATAGGGCAAGGGGAGAGGTTAGGAGGAAAGCAAGGCACGGGCCAGGATAGTCTAGAGGGAGGGAAGCGATGGGGTGCGACGGGAGCTAGACGGAGTGAGGAGGGCGACAAGAGCGACGAGAACGAGAGAGAGAAGGGGTTGAGGGCGGAGCGGGAGTGGAAGCTTGGAGAGAGATAGAAAAGAGAGGTGACTGGAGGGTGGGAAGAGAGGGAAGGAGCAGAGATAGCATGTCAATTCTGCAACGATAACCAAATGGGTGTCAGAGGGAAGGGAGGATTGGGGATGAGAAGGAAAGGATGAGAGGGGTATAGAAGGACGGGAGGAGATGGGCATGGAGGGATGTAAACTACAGGTAGAACAAGGGGGGAGGTAGCACGACGGGGAGGGGAGGGGAGCGCGACGGGGAGGGGAAGGGAGCACGACGGGGAGGGGAAGGGATCACGACGGGGAGGGGAAGGGAGCGCGACGGGGAGGGGAAGGGAGCGCGACGGGGAGGGGAAGGGAGCACGACGGGGAGGGGAAGGGAGCGCGAGGGGGAGGGGAAGGGAGAGCGACGGGAAGGGGAAGGGAGCGCGACGGGGAGGGGAAGGGAGTGCGACGAGGAGGGGAAGGGAGCGCGACGGGGAGGGGAAGGGAGCGCGACGGGGAGGGGAAGGGAGCGCGACGGGGAGGGGAAGGGAGCACGACGGGGAGGGGAAGGGAGCGCGAAGGGGAGGGGAAGGGAGCACGACGGGGAGGGGAAGGGAGCACGACGGGGAGGGGAAGGGATCACGACGGGGAGGGGAAGGGATCACGACGGGGAGGGGAAGGGAGCACGACGGGGAGGGGAAGGGAGCGCGACGGGGAGGGGAAGACGCGGAGAAGCGCATGCAGGCACCGATGGCAGAGCCATTTGACTGAAAAGATGCGGTCCAGGCAGGGGAAGAGAAACCGTGTTGTGAAGACATACCTCCGCGCCCTACAAGGTGAGCGCGGGACGAGAATGAGCGAGCGACCGAGTGATTCCCTCGCGGGAGTTCATGAGCGACGGGAGTGAGTGAGCGCGGGACGAATATCTCAGCAACGGGACGCATTTTGGCACGGGAGGGCGTGAGTGGCGAGAGTGAGTGTGCGGAACGGGAGTGAATGTCACATTCGAGTGTGTGTGCGACTGGACCTGAGGCAAGGCGATTGCCCTGTGTGGGCGGTGGGATCGTTCGAGCGACGGGGGGAGTGCGCGATGGATCTAGTGAGAGATGCGAATGAGGGACGGATGACGAGCGGCGGAGAGGGAAGGGAGGCACGGGAGGGAGGCGCGCTACAGCAGGAGCGAATGCGAGACGGAAGCGAGGCGCGGGACGGAAGGGACGGAGGGTGCTGGGCGACGGCAGGGATGGGGGTGGACTGGACGATGGACGGAAGTCACGACCGGGCCGGGAGTGACGGGCGCGGCGACTACGACAGACGCGACGAGGGCGACGGGAGGAGCGGGATCGACGAGAGCCAGAGGCGAGACGGGACCTACGAGTGCAAGTGGAGTAGCGGGTGCGGCGGGACGACGGATTAGATGGTGTGTGAGATATATTTGCGAGTACCGCGAGAGATCCTATGAATTGGGCGTTAGCGGGTGACGGTGGAGACCTATACTATGCAAACCGACGGACGTCGCAATACAAAATTTTGGGTGTCGCCAGCAGTAGTTATCGGTAGCGGACGATATGGTGGGCTACTGAACCTACTAATCAACGAGTCTAGAAAGGTAGCTTCAAGCTTCAAGTTTCGGAAACTGTGAACAGTGGCCCCGGTTCTTGTTTGTTTTCGCGAGTGTCGACGGTGGTGTTGCTATTGTGCTTTTGGCCAATCATATTACTGCGCTTCAAACACCTTCAAAGTGGATCGCGAGAGAGCCACCCACAAAGGCGGGTTACCGTGTTCACTGGCGAAATCATGTTCAAGAATCTTGAACTTGAACCTTTGCCATTCTAGACTCGGGCTTTAAATCACTCAGCTTCCTCTCAGAGGAGAGACCTCTGGCTGTTCCTATATATTCAATTCTGCCTCATATGCGCGTACTAAGTATTTTTTCCTTACTGTTCCTCTTGCAGGCTACTAAAAGACTGTTGTGGCGGGCGATTCTGCTTTGAAGTCTAACTCGCCGTATGAAGCTTGCGAAATAACACCACATCGCTGGCTCTTGGTGTGCGAGACACTTCTCTCTCCCACTCTCGGTCTGCACCCCGCAGCTCAAATACCCAGTCATTTCAGTTCACGATTTCCATGTTTTGTCTTCTTCAAACATTGACCTTGCGCGGTCCTCTGGTTAATCTCTTCGTGCCTGTTCCTTAAAAAGTCTCATTTTTCCCTTACCACCTCCCTCTAGCAGGATAGATGGGACCGCTGTGGCGGACAGTTTCTGCTGAGAATGTTGCCCGACTGCATGCAACTCACGAACAGACTTCCATCTCTCGCGCTACGTTCGCTGGCTCTTCATGTGCGAGTCAGGTGTGCAAATCTCGATATTTCATTCCGTTCATATATGCAATGGCTACTGCGACCTTGTGATATATTGTTTTGCAGAATGCAGCGCGCATGACAACGTTTCTTTCTTCGAACTTCAAGATTAATGTCAAGCGTCAGAGATTATTATGACGATATCGTTATTTTTTCCAGCAGGTCTATCTTCGTATTTAGTTCAATCCATTCTTGAAGTTTATCACGGCTCCTGGCGGATGTTCCTGGAACGCAGTTTTTTAATTATCAAGGCATCGGTAGGTTCAGGTTAGTGCTGACTAACCCGCCATTGGTAGGTTTATGTTTGTGTTGACCCAACCTTGCGTGTGTGTTGGTGCAGAGAGCAGAAACTTCGTCCCGCCCACAGGAAGCTGTTGGCATGTTCCATGTTTCTGTCAGAATGAGGAATGGATGATGCATTGATGTTGGTTGGGGTACATATAGCTAACCCTAAGTTTTGTACCCCCTAAGACAAACCTCACTATAGGCTACAACATTTGACACACCCCCATAGCCTAAGTGAGGGGTGTCTAGCAGAACCAAACGAGTACGGTCACAAGACCAGTCCAAGAAATGAAGCTCAGGGTGGATCACAACGTCACCACACAGTCTGAGCACAAACAACAGTGGCCACAAGGCCAGTCCAAGAAGTAACAGAGGTATATAGAAAGCAAAGTAAACAGTACACTCAAGCCTAAGCAACACGAGAACCAGTGTCAACAAGGCCTAATGGCACACAGCACCTCTGGTGGTCACAAGGCGGAAGCGCCTTGGTGAAGATGTCTGCAGTGTTGGCCTCGGACTCCACAAACTCAAAGCGAGCCTGTCCACGCCTCTGCAACTCTCGCAGAAGAAAGTACCTGACGTGAATGTGCTTCACTCTGCTCTCCAGTCGTGGCTCTCGACAAAGGAGAATAGACGCCTTGTTGTCAGTGAACAAGGTCGGTGCAGAGCTCGGCCGCTCACCAAGGTCGGTGAGCAAGAAGGTCAACCAACGCAGCTCCTGTGCCGCCATGGCACCAGCGTAGATCTCAGCCTCAGCTGTAGAGGTCGAGACCGAAGAGGAGCGCGTGGACCGCCAGGAAACAGCTCCAGAACCCAGGCTGAAACAGTACCCCTGAGTAGACCTGTGAGTCTCAGCGTCGTCAGCGTAAGAGGAGTCACAGTGACCAGTAAGTACGACAGACTGCTGCCCTCCAAGAACTAGCCCCACGCCTGACGTCGTCGCTAGGTACTTCGCCACCCTCACAGCTGCTGTCCAGTGAACAGGACGGTGTCTCCCTGGCGCAACAAAGCGCGCAAGAACGCTGAGAGGGAAGGCGAGGTCCGGGCGAGTACAAGTTATCAGGTACATGAGGCAACCCACAAGCTCTGCGTAGGGACCACTAGGCTCGAACGGCTCGTCAGGAAAGGGTCCAGTGAGTCTGTGGTCAACAGCAAGAGGTGTGCGCTGTACTGTGGAGTGCTGAAGCCCGAACCGCTGAAGGACCTGCTGCACCATGTGCGACTGTGAAAGTGTAATGGTGCGAGCAGCTCTGTCCCTGGTGATCTGCAGGCCAAGGTAGTGGCGCAGCTCACCAAGATCAGTGCAGGTGTGTCTCTTCTGCAGTTCGGACTTCACGTGTGCCAAAGCAACCCTGTCAGGGGTGGCGAAAACAAGGTCGTCAACGTAGACCAGAACAAAGAAAGGTGTGGGGCCACGACGAACGAACAGCGACGGGTCAGCAGAAGACGGCTGGAACCCAAGGTCAGACAGGGTAGAACGCAGGGTGTCGTGCCACTCACGAGGAGCCTGACGAAGACCGTAAACCGGTCGCCTCAGCCTCCACTGGGTCTCAGGAGGGAAAGAGCCAGTGAAGGCAGAGGGACGACGCAACCAGACCTCCTCGTGAAGACTGCCCTGAAGGAAAGCAGTAGAGAAGTCGAGAGAGTGTAACTCGTAGTCTCTCTGTGCTGCTACGTGTAGTAACACCCGAAGAGTGGTCATCTTCGGGGTGGGCGCGAAGGTCTGAAAGAAGTCAACTCCCTCGCGCTGACTGAAACCTCTAGCCACGTAGCGCGCCTTGAAGACCGGAGGAGATCCCGATGGCCGCTTCACCCTGTAGATCCACATGCCGTCGACTACGTTCGCCCCCGGAGGGGGAACCTCATCGACGTAGGTGCCTGTGGATCTGTAGGAGGCCATCTCTGCGTCCATGGCAGCTCTCCACTGAGAGGCCCAAGGCCCTGACACTGCCTCAGCGTAAGTGCGAGGAGTCGGAATGTCAAGGGCGTCGGGGTCACCCTCAGGGGCGAGGAGCATGGCACAGAGATGAGGGGAAGCGGCCGCCAGGAACTCTAGCTCAAACTGCCTGTCCTCTAGGGCGTCACAGCCAAGGGCAGACACACCCCCGACGGCCAGAGGACTGGAAGGAGGAGCTGCCACAAGAGCGGTGGCGAAGTCAAGGCGGCGGGTAGAGGCAAACTCAGTGACTGCGGCAGTAAGAGCGGACACAGAGGACACAGAGGCACGAGGGTGGGTAACAAGAGAGGCGAGAACACGAGAGAGAACAGGACGGTACGTGCGGTAGTAGTCAGTGACAGGAGAAGGAAGCGACACAGTGAGGGCCGACTCAGGAGGAGACGGAAGCACAGACGGAGACGGACGAGGTGGACGAGAACAAAGGAAGGCTGTACGAAGGTCAGTGAAGGGAACAGGAGACGAGGGACGAGCACGAGGGGAGCGACGAGAGGCCCAAGTCTGAGAAGGAGGAGGAGACAACGAAGACTGAGAACGAGGGAAAACAGCGGGAGAGGGGTCAGGAGGAGGAAGCGGAGGACCAGAGACGGGAGGAGAGGGGGAGGAGGAAGGAGAGGGAGACGGGAGACCAAGGGTCCGAAGACCCGAGACAGGAGGAGGAGACGGCAGCAGCTGCTGCTGCTGCTGCTGCTGCTGCTGCTGCCGCGGCTGCTGTGGCTGCTGCTGCTCCAGCGGCTGCTGCCTCTGCTGCTGCTCCTGCTGCTGTCGCTCCTGCTCCTCGAGCCGCTGCAACTCTCTCTCCTCTCTCTCCAACTCCAGCTGCTCCTCACGAGCACGGCGAACACGAGCCTGGAACCTGGTCGGGTAGGGGTGGGGGGAAGGAGTAGTGTCCGGGGCAGCGGCAGCCCCAGAGTCGACCTCCGAAGCACCAAGCACACCACCCCCAGAGGCAGCACCAACACCAGCTCCAGACCCAGGCTCTCCAGAAACCGAAGGGACACCCTCACCCCCAGACGCAGCACCCCCAGACTCCGCACCAGCACCCCCAGACTCCGCACGACCAGTACCAGCCCCCGGAAGACAAGAGTCCTCTGCAACCCGCGGCTCAGCTCCAACTCCAGCACCCCCAGAACCAGAGACCTGTACAGGGACAGTCGCAGGACCAACCTCTCGAGAGGGAGCACCTGCAGGAGGCGGCGAGGAAGACTGTGGGGAGGG